CTTGTAAAACTGTTCAAATCTCTTTTTCATGAATTTCTGCCCTCTCTACTTACCTTTGAAAATATTCAACTTGGTTGCAATGTTATGTGCGAATCCTTATTTAAGCCTTGATTGTTTACTTGTAAAGTCACAATTATAACATGGCCGGGAACCACACTAGTGGATCTTGAGGGGTGCCTAACACCTTCCCCTTGGGATAATTTCTATCCCTTACCCTAATCTCTGGTCTCTTCATCTTAAACCATTCTTAAAGTGTCCTAATGCACTATAATCATTAGGTGGCGACTCTTCAACTTCTAAATCCAATTCTCGAAAGGGAATAGAGTTGTCCTCCCAATGTCGTATACCCGATTTCTGACCCCACAGTTAGAGAAAAAGGGGGCGTCGACATTCTTAATCTCCCTTTTTATTAGTCTTATCACCTCACTACTATGTACACTAACTTCACGAAACAACTTTCAATTCCTAGCTCTCCAAGTATGATATATCACTGTTGCACATATGGCTGCTACCAGTTCCTTCTTGAACATCTTCTAGTGTTTCCTTTTTATAGACTCCAACATGATCTGTGTATCGGCAACTTGTATAATTATCCCGGCCCATTGTAGTATAGCCTACCATACTGACTTACTCCAATCACACTTAGGTGTGTGTTGGTTTCTAATACCTGAGCATTGCATAAATAGCACCTGGAATCCTCCAACTGAATGTGTATTTTAAGCATCCTTTCTTTAGTAAGTAGTAGCGAGAGGTGTTGGGAGTTTCGAAAGGTTACTCTGGCGGCACCGAGGCTACTGGTGGTGGAATGACGTGGTACAAGGTAAAGTGGAATCCAAGAAAACGGCTTACATTAAGTTAGTAGAGAGCACCAACGAGGATCAGAGGAGAGCGAACAAAGAAATGATAGGAAGGAGGCAAAATTAGTGGTCACAGAGGCTAAGACTGCTGTATTTGGTCGGTTGTATGAGCAACTTGGGGGAAAAGGTGGGGACAAGAAGTTATTTCGGTTGGCCAAAGTGAGAAAGAAAAAGGCTCGCGACCTAGATCAAATGAGGTGAATTAAAGGCGAGGACGGTCGAGTATTGATGGAAGAGGCCCAGATTAGGCAAAGATTGAAGTCGTACTTTTATAAACTTCTAAATGAAGAGGGGGATGGAAACATCGTGTTAGGGCAATTGGGGCACTCCTAGAGCCACCGTGACTTTAGGTATTATAGACGCTTTAAGGTTGAGGAGGTCATGTATGCGATGGGTAAGATGAGTCAGGGCAAAGCGACCAGAGCAGATGAGATTCCAGTAGAGTTTTGGAGATATGCGGGTAGAGCAGGCTTGGAGTGGCTGACTGGGTTGTTTAATGTTATCTTCAGGACGAAGAGGATGCCTGATGAGTGGTGATGAAATACAATGGTTCCGGTGTACAAGAACAAAGGTGATATCCATAATTGTAACAACTATAGGGGCATCAAGTTACTAAGTCATACCATGAAAGTTTTGGAGAGGGTGGTGGAAGGGAGGATAAAGAGGGCAGTATCTATATCGCAAAATCAGTTCGGGTTCATGCCGGGTCATTCTACTACGGAAGCTATCCACCTTATCAGGAGGTTGATGGAACAATACAGGGATAGGAAGAGGGATTTGCATATGGTATTTATTGACCTAGAGAAGGAGTATGACAAGCTCCCCAAGGACGTCCTTTGGAGGTATCTAGAGGTGAAATGTGTGCCAGTGGCTTACATTAGGGCAATAAAGGATATGTACGATGGAGCTATGACTCGGGTTAAGACTGTGGGAGGTGATTCACAGTCCTATGGGTTACATCAAGGATCTGCACTCAACCCGTTCTTATTTGCCCTAGCGCTAGATGCACTGACACACCATATCCAAGGAGAGGTGCCATGGTTTATGTTGTTTGCTGATGATATAGTTCTGATTGATGAGATGCGATGCGGCGTTAATGGGAGACTAGAGGAATGGAGGCAGGCCCTGGAGTCAAAAGGTTTCAAGTTGAGTAGGACTAAGACAAAATATGTGGAATGTAAGTTCAACGACGTGACGAGGGAAGTGGATGCGGAAGTCAGGCTTGACTCATAGGTCATCCTCAAGAGAGAAAGTTTTAAGTACTTAGGTTCAATTATCCAGGGTGATGGGAGATCGACGGGGATGTTATGCACCTTATTAGGGTGGGGTGGATGAAATGGAGGTTAGTGTCTGGAGTCCTGTGTGACAAGAATGTGCCACCAAAACTCAAAGGTAAGTCCTATAGAGTGGTGGTTAGACCGGCCATGTTGTATGGGGTTGAGCGTTGGTTAGTCAAGGATTCACATATCCAGAAGATGAAAGTAGCAGAAATGAGAATGTTGAGATGGATGTGTGGGCACACTAGGCTGGATAAGATTAGGAATGAAGATATTCGGGAGAGGGTGGGCGTGGCTCCGGTGGATGACAAGATGCGGGAAGTGCGACTTAGATGATTCGGACACGTGCAGAGGAGAAGCCTAAATGCCCCGGTTAGGAGGTGTGAGCGGTTAGCTTTGGTAGGTACGAGAAGAGGTAGAGGGCGTCCTAAGAAGTATTAGGCCGAGGTGATCAAATAGGTCATGGTGCGACTCCAAATTTCCGAGGACATGGCTCTTGATAGGAAGGTATGAAAGTCGAGCATTAGGGTTGTAGGTTAAGGGTAGTCGAGCGATTTTCCCCTTTGTCGCGATTTTTCTCTTTCTACCGACGAGTATGATAGTGTTTTGTCTAGCCCTGCTAGCGATTTATGTTGTGTTTCACACTTTTGCATAATATTTGTGTACTGCTTTTCCATTTATTTGCTGTCTCTCACGTTGCTGATATTATTTTTCGGGTTTTCTTGTCACAGATCTATCATCTATGAACCGAGAGTCTCCCGGAAATAGCCTTTTTATCCCCTCTAATGTAGAGGTAAGGTCTACATACATTCTACCCTCCCAGACCCCACTAGTGGAAATTTACTGGGTTATTGTTGTTGTTATTTCTTTGGTAAGTAGTCTTCCTTGGACTGCTAGCCATATAATGAATCTGTGCTTTGGATGAGCCAAAGCTGTCCACACTAGTGTAGCTATCTCAAGCTTATTGTGTTGGCCAATGAGGGCAAGGTAACTCCGAGTGATTGATTACCCTTCTCTGCTCGTGAGCTTATACCTGCCTTGAATATGTTAATCCCTCATTTCCTCCTTAAGACAATCCAGTTACTTCCAGTACTAACTACAGTCTAGGGGAGGTTTATGACTCCATATATTTGGTTCAGACTTCATATATACCCCATGAACTTATTTCACCCATAGAGACACTTTCTACATTAACATTTGCCACAACAATTTTCCTACTAAAGTTATGTTCCAATCCCTGCTTCCATTAATGTTTAGGCCTCTTAGTTTCTTTGGGCAACACATCTTTCCCCAAGCAACTAGTGCCACTTTCTTCTTGTCTTCACTCTTTTCCTACAGATATTCTCTACATAATTTGTCTACCTCCTTTAGGACACTCTGAGGCAATATGAAAGCAGATCCCCAGAAACTGTATATGGAGAATAATACTGCATTAACAATCTGCAGTCTGCCAGCATAAGAAAGATGCTTAACATATGTGGCAGTGATCCTTTGAGTGATCTTTCTAGCTAAAATTTGGCAGTCTATTTTATTCCATTTTGTAGGGGATAATGGCAATCCCAGGTATCTAATTGGAAATGCTCCCAATGAAAAGCCTGTAATGGCTAGTGATTCTTCTTTTATGCTCTCCTCCACCCCAGCTATAAAGATGCTGGATTTGTCCAGATTTAGCAGTCAAACTTGAGACTTTACCAAAGTGGTGCAAAGCTTCAATAACTCTCTTGACTGAACTTACATTGCCTTTGCAAAATAGCATGAGATCATCAACAAAGATAAGGTAAGTTAGTCTCAAGCCTTTGCAAATGGGATTGAATCTAAAGTCGGAGCATATGATAATTGTCTTCAATGATCTAGATAATTATTGCATGACAATGACAAATAGCAGAGGTGATATAGGATCACCATGCCTCAGGCCCCTCTTTCCTGCAAAGAAACCATGTTCCCATTCACCTTAAAAGAGAATCTAATCAATTTTATTATTAATTAATGATAAAAGGTGAATTTCTTAATATGTGTGAAAACAACTAAAAAATTAATTAAAGTTAGGATTTTTTCGTGAAAGATTTAAATTCAAACGAACGGCACATGCAATTCTACTGTACATAAAAAACGCCATGATAAACTTTTTATGTGTATTCATACATCAAGTTGCAGATAGGGATGACAAATGGTGCGGGGCGGTGCGGTTGCGGGGCAAACCCGCGCACACCCGCGAAGACTCCAACCCATCCCGCAAAACAAAATTTGCTGTTTTTAGCCGCCCCGCCCCACGAAAACCCGCCCCGCGCAAACCTACCCCGCATATTTTTTCTTTTTAATTTTTTTTAATTTGGAAAAATTATCAAAAGATACCACATTCCAAACTTCCAATGTATTATATTCTTCTTTTTAGAGAAATTTTATGCAATTTTTCTTCTTTTGTTGATGTTAACTCCACTTACTACATGTAGTTATATTTTCTCCTATCTTTTTAATATTAATGCAAGAATGTAGACTCTGTACTACTTGAACTTGAAGTGTATGTCACTTTCATTATAAATATTGATTAATCGAGAACAGTAACACGCAAAAAGTAGTATTGCAATTGTTTGCAACAAGAATAAAAGCTAGGACGAGAACGTTGCTTCTTCAATGTTCAAACCACTTTGTTTTTTGCCTAGTATTTCCGGCTTATTAACAATAGTTTGTTTAAGGCTCTAAACTTATCACAATTAGTCCTTTGCTGTCCCTATTGTCTAATTTATTTACTCATTTTACAAACAAGTTCTCTATAGAAATTCGTAAAACAAGTTCTTTTTTTACTCCCCTAATAACGGTGAAGATTTTGTCATATAACAATTTCAATTTGCTTGGGATTGTAGCGTTACAATTATAATATAAGCCTTCCAGTTATGAGACAGTAGAATTCCAGTTACAAATAAGAGCAGAGTATTAAGATATGACTGTCTTTAGGAGATCTGATAGCGTTTTTGTCTTTTAGGTTTTAGTTCAAAAAATAACATACCCGCGACCCGATCCGCCCCGCGTTAATTTTTTTTTTAAAAAATTAGAACCCGCCCCCGCAAGCACCGCAACCCACCCCGACCCGTGAATGCTGAAACCCGCCTCGCACCGCATCCGCACCGCCCCATTGCCCTCCCTAGTTGCAGACTATTGAAATTGAGTCAAGAAAAGTGATAATATTGTATTCTTCAAGTTGGAAGAAGATATCTTATTTGCTGATGTAATGAACCAAGGAAAAAAAGACAACGAAAGATCAATTATTACTAGATTCTCACGTTCAAAAGTGAGAAGCTCAACAAAAAGTTTGTCCATTGACACAACGCAAAGATGTCGGTTACTTGTATAAAAGAGTATTATCATGCCGGCTGCCTTATAATTAATTAATTACGTATTGGAAACTGCAAGTTGGAGTCGATTACGTACGATTAAGGATTTTTGGTTTGAAACTAGAATATTTTAAGATTATAATTGTGAGATTATAACTAAGATTAAATTTGAATAACTTGTCTACCTTTTATTTTAGATAAGTTTTATCAAAATTTTGGTATGATACTTCCAACCAAACACGAGATAACCGCACTCCCTTGAATAAAAAATCCCTACGGTATAATAGAGTTATAGTCGCTCGCGGGTGAGTTTAAGCCTTTGTGGGCAGTGCACCGACACATTTGCAGTGTGGAGGCGACTACAGGGTCCTACAAACGCTCTACGCTCAATCATTCCGAAAAATGCTTGCATTCTCTGTATTACCGCAAAATTAGCACAGAGTTAATGTCGTCTACTTCTCCTCTAGGAAAAGAAGTGCACTGCCTGTGGGTCTTCTATTTCCATGCATGAAATAAGAGTAGTAAATGGCTTTCCTTAAACCAATAATATCTAGATGGATGAATAGTAGGCATGACGTGGCAAAACTCTGGACGGTGTTTTTTGCTTTTTCTCCATAAAATTTGGCCCGTTGACTATTCACGGGTTTTAAGCAAAATGAAGAGATAAAAACGTCAAGTTGCAGTGTTCANAACGTTTCAGACTTTAGATTTTCACTTTAAGGACTCAATAGATTTTCTATTAAGGACTCCAAATATTCTAATTCTCAGGGAAGGACATTTTTCTCTGACGTGGAAAACTTTCGATTTTTCAGTTAAGGACTCCATAGATTTTCACTTAAGGACTCCAAATATTTCAATTCTCAGCGAAGGACTTTTTAATCTTACTATAAATAGCCTCATTTTCGATCCCTTTTACACAACACAATTTCATAAGCAATTTGCGTTATTTGCCTAGGTGCACTTTTTTTGGCCTTTTGCGTTTCTTGAAATTTATCCTTTTTTTTCATTTTCTTGATTTTCTTTTGGGAAGATGACTATCCTCATTGAGCAGCCTGAGTTTGGTATGTCCTGAATTTATTTTTCTTCTTTAATTTTCACATTTTAAGAAAACCTTTATTATCAATAAGCACACCAATAATTCATTACATGGGATTTTCTAAATTCTAATTATTTTCGGCCAGGTTTGCAAGTAGAGGAGAAACAAATCCCATACGATACCAATGAGCTTATTTTGGATGGTGGATTTGTGGTACCAAAGCAATTGTCTTGTGACGGTGGATTTGAAGTGCCAGCAATCAATTCATTTGGCCAATCATTTAGGTATGTGGATTAAATTTTTTGGTTTTGTTTAATTTATTTCTCTTTGTCTTTGTTTTTCATGTGGTGAATCTAGTTTTACGCAGCGTGAAAGTCACGCCCAAAGATCGAGTCTAAGACCTCTAATTAAAAATGAATTAATAAATACTTGTTACTCCAAAAACCGTACAGCTTATTTGAATATGATTACTTTTTAGTGTTTATAGTTTCATGCAAATAGCTTCTACAAAACAAAATTAAAAGAAAATAAAAAGAGGCTAATTTAATACTATGAAATTGTTGAACAGGGATTATAATGCAGAAAGTGAGAGACAGAAGACAGTGGAAGAGTTCTATAGAGTTCAACACATCAACCAAACATATGACTACGTAAGTGCTTATAAACGCCTGTCAACAAAAAAAAAAAAAAAATTACAAGACAAATTCTCTAATCATCTTTTTTCATATTCTAAAACTTTTTTTTAAATGTAAATAAATGTGGAATTAAGATTTAATGAAAATGATTAATTGCAAATTGATCAGGTTAAGAAAATGAGGGAAAAATATGGGAAGTTGGACAAAGTGGAAATGAGCATTTGGGAATGCTGTGAGCTATTGAATGATGTGGTGGATGACAGTGACCCTGATTTGGATGAACCCCAAATTGAGCACTTATTGCAGACTGCTGAGGCTATTAGAAAAGACTATCCAAATGATGATTGGCTTCATTTGACTGCCCTCATTCATGGTATGTCACTATTTATATATCACTATTTGTATATCACTATTTGATTAAATACGAAATTCTTTTTTAGAAAATTAAAATTTTTGATTTAAAACAAGATAAAATAGTAATATAAAATTAAATTATTTATGAATAGAAAAGAAATGATATTTTTGGGGCCGGAACTTGTATGCATAGAGGCGGAGCCACGGTGTTAGTTGCGGGTTCAGTCGAACACAGTAGCTTGTTGAAACCTTGTATTTATATTAAGAAATCCAATAAATATATGTAAGTTATTAATTTAGAACCCAATAAATAAAAGGATTATAATCCCAAATCCGTAAGGTTCAAATTAGTTCTGCCTCTGTGTATGCAACACTTGTAGAGGTCGTTTGGTAGAGTGTGTTAGAGAAAATAATGCATGCATTAGCTTTGTGTATTAGTAATGCTTTGTTTGGTATACTTTTTCAACATATGTATAACTAATACAAGCATTAATTATACACTCTATTTGGTATTATCCTATGTATAACTAATGCATAGAAAACCATGGCATTAGCTATACAAAGGCTATTAATGCATGCATTAGCATGGTTAAAGACAAAATTATCCTTAAAGTTCCTTAAGTTAAAGGATATGGAGGGCATTTTTGTAAACAATTAAATTTCTTAAAAATTATAATGCATTTTAATTTTTAATATATCACACCAAACAATGCATAAAAAATAATCTCTGTATAACTAATACTTGCATTACTAACTCATGCATTACTAACCCCTGCATTACTAATGCACCTTATTTAGCATTATTCTTATATGCCCTACCAAACGACCCCATAGAGAGGTGCATGCATAAAAATTTGGAACTCTTTTCTCATCTGAATCTTAAATATAAACTAGAAAGAGAAGTATGTCCTCTAAATTAGGGTAGAGGGCGTATAGTATTGTTGTTATTCATTTTCAAGACAATTAAGACCTACTTTTGTTATAGTTTTATAGGTATAATTTTATTAAGCATATTAGTATATATCCCATTTATATCCTTTTGATCCTTCTTTACGAGTTACTTATGCCATAAGCATATACTACTTTCTTTATTTTATTTTATTTTGTTTCTTATAATGCAATATAATATGGACTACAGATCTTGGAAAAGTACTACTTCTTCCTAGCTTTGGAGACCTACCTCAATGGGCTGTTGTTGGAGATACGTTCCCATTAGGTTGTGCTTTTGATGAATCAATTGTTCACCACAAGGTAAAACTTTCTTTAATTTTCTTCTACTAAAATGTCTTCCTTTGAGAAATGTAAAATAAAATACATGATTAATTAGTTA